ACCCGGACGGACGGTGCCGACTCTGATGGTGTCCGCGGCGCACCCAGTCTTTGCCATGACTGCATCGCGGACATCCTCCGACGTGATGGAGTCGTCCAGGCCCGAGATGCGCAGTTCTGCGCATTTGGTGGGCCTGGCGATCTTCACACCGTCCGTGGTGGCAAAAATCCCCCGCAGCTTCTCGGCGAATTTATCGGCCGTCGCCGCGCCTTCAGCCCCAGGGAACTCGAACACTCGAGCTCCCGTCTGGGCGCGACGCAGCCTCATCCCCGCCGTCCCGAATTCAGTGGCGAGACCAGGCCGGGCCCCCTTGAAGAGGGCCGCATACGTGAGCCCGCCACTGGCCGCCTCCGGCGACAAGGTGACCACTACAGCCGCGGTTTTGGGCGGCTGCAGCTTCCGCGGCCTCTTTTTAGAGGCCGTTGCCACCGGTGGCGAAGGCTGGGCTTGGGCTGCTTTCTGAGCAGCCCTTCTAGCCCGCCTTCGGGACTTCTTTGAGCCCCTCACCTCCTGCCAACCCTCGTTGGAGGGGGCAGGTGCGGAGGGGCCCGGCAGGGGTGTCGGAGTGGGGAGCGGAGGGAACTCCACTCCACTCCTCGGCGCCGTTTTGGGCCCCGTCTTGGCCGGCTTCTGGGCCGGCTTCGGGGCCGGCGCCTTGGCCGGCGCCTTGACTGGCGCCTGGGCCGGTGCCTTGGCCCCTTTCCTCGGCCCCTGGGGAGCCGGTGGTGTCGGGGCCGACGCCGCCGCCGCGTAGGACACGCGGCCTCCCACTACGGGGAGCGCAGTCGGAGCAGCGGCCTTAGGCCGCTGCGACGACGCGAGCGGGGGGCGCACGACCGGCGCAGGGGGCAGTCTCGCCTCCAGGCCGGCCAGACGACCGTCCAGCATACGCCCAACTGCGTCAAGAATTTTCCGCAGTTGGGCATCAGGTACCCCTTCGTTGGTGGTAGGGGCAGGCTGGGACGTGGACGGGGCCTCCTCGGGGAGGTTCGTCTGGAAGCGGGCGAACTGAGCGCTCAGCTCGTTCACCCGCTCCGTCAGCCTCTCGTTGGCGGCCTGCAGGCGAGACATCTCGCCTGTCAGGTCCTCCACGACCTCCGACACAGCGGAGGAGGAGTCCTTAAGGGCCCTCACAAAGGAGCCCTTAAGGTTCACGGACTTGGTGGCCACCTTTTTAATTATGTCCACCGCCGCTCTTGCCCTCTCCTGTACAGACACGGGAGCACGGGAGGCTCCTCCTCCGCTACGGCTTCTCCTTCCGCTCGGACCCGCCTGTATGACTCCGCCCCAGAGAAGGCGGAGCCCGACGGGACGGGGACAGGGGCACGCGACCTCGCGATCGGCGTCCGTGACCGTCCTCGCTGGCTGCCGGCCACCTTAGGTGGCAGCATGTCCTGCGAGGGGTCAACACCCTCCTTTCCAGACCGTCCACGCTTGCGGCTCCCAGCCTCCATAGCGTCCAGTGCGTCAATCGTCACACTGGAGCCACCGTCTGCTGAAGCAACCGACCTGGAGCGAAGACGCTCCAGTCTGACTACTGGGAGCCCCACCGAGATAGGCGTTCCCGACACCACCTCACCCTCAGCGGACGCCAGATCCACTCCACCTCTCTTCGTCCTTGACTCCTCCCTCTCCTTCCTTCCCACCGTTTCTTTGTCCTTTTGGCTTGCCTGTTTCATTGTTTGTGTTCCATTTCGTTTGTTTGCTTCAATTTCAATATTCATATTATACCCACGAGTGGGGGAGAACTAAAGGTCCACCCGGGCAGAGATCCCCCAATACCCGGGTAAGCGTAAATTTATGCCCAACCGAGGGGTCCGCAAGTGCCCCCTGAGTGCGCTTACGACTGAACTACCCATCAGCCATGCATCCCCTGGCCACGCACCAGAACACGGGATTCGGGGAATTTTTTAGAGAGGTTTTCTTCCTCGCGGTCCGGGCGGTTAAGCCAAGACCCTCGTCCCCGATCAGAGCCGCGAGACTTGACCACAGCGCTCTTCTCGGGATTACGATATTCCGACGGTGACAAGGAGCCTACGTCCCCCTGCCTGCTCGGTGGTAGTGTCAGTACACGCCGAGCCCGTCCTCCTTTCTCCACCGCTAACAGCGGAGAAACTGGCCCCTATAGGGCCCCACCTTCTGGTTTTTTACCGAGGTTTCCTCCTCCATGCTCCGAAGAGCGAAGAGCCAGCAGGGCAACCGGCAGACACGCCCACCCTGCTGGACCAGGCCTTGCCCGAGAGCCGATGAACGGCTTCCTCTTCTGCTAGAATATTAGCCGCTGGCGATAATCCTCTCCTCCAAGTGGACAAGGAGGAAACAGTGCCATCGCCAGCGTTTCCAGGGTGCACCACGGGGAGGTTTTCTAGCATAGCACCCCAACTAGAAACAAACCTATACCAACCCGTCTGGCCAGCGTGATATAGTAGGCCAAAAGCTCTTTTCTAAGGAGAAGCCTATGTCTAGCAGTGGTCTATTAAAGGTCTCGTATTAACAGATCACCCTTCAAATTTTTTTTTTTTGTTCGTTTTTTGACCGGTATGGTTGTTTACGTTCGATAACAGTATGTTATTCGCACCTACTTTTACGAGTTCGCTTAGAATCTATATAGGGTGATTGGTAACTAGTACTTTTAAAATAATATAAGTGCATTAATTATTTTAAAGGCATATGCATATATTATATATCAGATGTATTTATTGATAAATTATATAAATTGTAACGGTTCATTTTAGCTTACTGTTTGCAGGTAGGTAAATCTTTTTGACTATTCGTTTTATGTTGAGTAAATCTATTTTATTCCTTGTTTCTAATGGTAGTTCATTTATAAGTCTTGGTACGAGGTAGTCGTTAGTTCGCTTGCCGTAGTAGTTGTTGGCTGATTTGGTAGTTGGCATTTAATTTACAATTTGACGGGTCATAATTAGGTGTTTTTTAGATTACTATTGAATTTAAAATAATTTTCTATAATTATCACCATTTTTACTTTCTCATAAACGGGTATTATTTTACAAAATTGAAACACTTTCATCATGATAATTAAATTGTATACGAACTTTTTTGGGTACAATAGCCTTTAACAAATGAAGTTGTAAGGAATGAATTTTTTGCAGATATGATGGAAATGTCCGTCCATAGCTACTGAGTCCATATAGTATAATACTCTCCGCTAAGGCTGTATACATATCTAACAAAATAGGGAAAGGTATTTTATATTTAAGTATATAGAATTTTGCTAAAATACGCGCCATTTTTTTATCACACACGGTTTCAATTTGAGCAGACCAATTAAACCAATCGTCTATTATTACTCCTAAATACGTGGTTTGAGAAACTTTATTAAGGCGTTCGCAATTACATTGAGTTGTTCTACCATGCAAACAGTCGTGATCATGGGCAATCAATTTAATGTCAGAGTCACTGTACTTTTTATTATAGATCGATGACACATGAAGCAGTTTAGTTTTCTGCGTATTTAGGACTAACCCTACAACATGAGACCACTTTGTTAGAAGCGTGAAATCTGTTTGTAGTCGATTCATCGCTACTTCTATATCACGATCAGCCGAAATGAGACAGGTATCATCAGCATACTGATAAACAACACAGTTCTTCATGATGCTGTTCATGTCGTTCACATAGGCAAGATAATGCAGAGGGCCTAGTACAGATCCCTGCGCTATTGCCGGCACAACTTTAACCTGCTCACTCAAGTCTTCATTTATCTTTACGTGATACGACCGGTTTTTTAAATAGTCTGCACACCAAGCTAGAGGGAGACCGCGTATGCCACTGTATTCTAATTTTTGTAGCAGTGTGTCATGCCTCAAGGTGTCGAATGCTTTACTATAATCTATGAAGACCATGATAAAATGCTTTTTTTCATCTAATCTGCCGTTTACATAATCTGTAAAACTGGAGATTTCTTTTTTAGAAGAAGAAGAAGAAGAGAAGAATTTCTTTTTATGATATAGAGAGCAAAGGAGCAGACGGGTCAACTGATGGCGAGTAAATACCAATGCCCAGAGACATTTGCAGCTCAAGAGTTACAAGTGCGTTGCGCCCTCTATCTAATTCTGCAGAGGTTGGACACATTAACGGGTAGACTACATAAATACGAAAGACTTTATTCCCACAGTCACAAACACGAAATTAAAAATACCGATTTTCATAATTCCGAATGGTTCAAAATTCCCAGTATAACAACTCCGATTTATCATTCATCCTATTTTTCATCATCATCATCACCATCAACAGCCTATACTAGTCCACTGCTGGACATAGGCCTCTCCTTAGAAAGGAGGTTTTGGCCTACTATACCACGCTGACCAGACGGGTTGGTATAGGGTTTGTTTCAAGTTTTCCTTCTCTTTGCAGTGCTGTTGTCCTGCTTAGTTTGCTCCCTTAGTCGGCTCTTACGACACCCACGGGATGAATTGGGGTGGTAACAATTTGTATTCTTAATTCGTCACCACACGGTGCTTACTTTTATAATTCAAAAATTTCAATATTCCTACCGTTCATACTTGCTATACTAAAAATACCGAGTTTCGATATTTTTAGTATAGCAAGTATGATGTAATGTAATGTATATGTAAATAGATCGAATAACAAAACAACTTAATTAGAATCATAATCCTAACTTTAGCAGTTTATTCGAAGTATCGAAAATCGGAATGTCGTTTTTCGGACCGACAACCTCTTGAGCATTTGATTCTTTGAACGTATAAAAATCGCAAAACAAAGAAATCGCATTTACGACTTTCAGTAAAATAAATTTCTTGAATTTTAATAATAGACATTATGAATCTTAGGTATTATAAAACTCGAACTTTTTGGAACGTCGAAATTCTATATAAAATGTTTCGGAGTATTTGGGTGTCCCCCCCGTGAACCGCACTTCACCTCACACACTGTGACGCTGTTGTATTAAATCGGACGTACCAGCCCATATGTGCCGTGCATGATACTTCCACGGTTAACTTCTAATTCTTACTCACCTTCTTCTTCCAAGGGATTAAAAGCCTTAGAGGATACCGAATTTTCACTATCCGTTGTTAAATTTAACTTTGGGTTATTGATGTTGCCAAACTGTCTCTTCGGTTCATCCTGAAATTACAAAGAAATTCTACTAACAAAGAGTTCTAGTAATTTTAGACAACTGCTTTTTTTAAATTGACTTCTTGTGTAATTCAAATCAATTATTCCTTTACTCCTTAATCTTCAAAAAGGGTGAAATAAAGGAGCGAAGGTTAGAGTTTATATTTCTCCCTAAATGCTGTGCATACATTTTCTTTATATTTTGGCACTGTCTTCTTCTCTTCTTATGGTAACTGACTACCGCTGACTGCAAGAACGATATCTGTTATCTACCGGAGAACTGATGGGGCTGTTTAGGCCGCTGGTAACCTTCATCACTTTAAGTATATAGGTTTTATAAGTGGACTTGTTACTGATAATGATTACAGTGTGGCGACTTCTAAATAAAAAGAAACAGAAACATACTACAGCTCCATCTAACGAAGACACACCGAACTACGGAGTAACTGCTAATCCAGTGTGTGAACTGTGAACAATTTCCTCGCCGATTAGCATATATACAACTTCCCAACATCAACCGTTGGGCCGCGGCCCGCTAGGCCTGAAGACCTCGCCTGGTCAGAGTTTGAGGGACTGGCCTTTGAGTTGGAGGGACATGACACCTGTTCATCTACAACGGATCGGCACGTGTAAAAAATAATAAAGTACTTACTAAAGCATTTGTAGCCGGTAGTAAAGGCTTCTCTATACTCGGAGGTTTCAACTCTTCAGTTTCCTTTTCTTTTGGAGAATCAATGAATTTTACAGTAGTTACTTTACGTCCTAGATGTATTACTGCCCAATGAGGGACGTTGATGTTTATTTTTTTAAATAAACAACTTATGTCTCTATCGTTAATAAAACAGCTCACTTCTCCTGATGGCTTCACACAGAAATGGCAGATAAAGTATTTGTCATCAAAGTTATAGCTCTCAAAATATGTCGTCGTTTCGAGATGTGGCCAATACTGATGGTCGGCTAAAGTGTTCGGATCACAATCTCTAATGCTTAAGCCTGAGTAATCTTTATACGTGCTTGGACCTTTTTCTACTCTTAAGTATACCTAAAATTAAAATGCCACATAAGTTAAGACACACTGGTCGATATTCCGTAAAGTAGAGACTTTTTTTAAAACCCACATTAATGTAGTCTCTGACGCGGGAGAGCCTGAAACGGCATTTTTATATGTACAACAAAATAATCGTCACTTCGGTCGAACTTGCCTATACGTGCCGAAACATATGTTCTGATTACGATCATTTGTTCTGTCTGGGTATATTTAGCAGTCTGGTTACCATAGTATACGGTCTGACTAATTTGGGATCAGACTGCCGTGTATGAGATGTATGAAGTTATTATTATTATATACCCTTATCTACACCAACATCACACAGAGGAAAGATTTTGTTTTTTATTTGTTTGGTTTGTAATTAATAGGCTCCGAACTACTGAACCGATTTTAAAATTTCTCTTAACAATGGAAAGCTACATAATCACCGAGGAACATTGGCTAATCGACATAAACGCGAACAAAACGGAGGAGTAGGCAAAACAAACAAACTCACTTTAACATTTATAACATAATATAGAAAACTAACTTACTCACCTTCTCGTTAATAGCTATAGGCCTAGAGCTGAAGGCGACACATTCGCGGGTCAGTGAATAACTCTTCTCCTCCTCTTCTGGTGCAATTTGTGCAGTACAATAGTCGTTAGAAATATTTATAAACTGTCCGTGGACTCTATGAAAACGTAGTGGAGTTAGATCGTCCATTGCAACATCGGCGTGGGAGGTTGCGCAATCTGCAAGAGACAGAAGAAAGATATGAAAGGAGTACGTCTTTTTTAAGGTATCGGAGCGTAAACAATTACACGGGTCAACTAATGGTAAGTGAATACCGCCGCCCATCAACAGCCTATCGAAGGCCACTGCTGGACATAGGCCTATCCCTTATTATACTTCTCGCATCCAGCTCCTGCCAGCCATTTTGAGCAGATCGTCACTCCACTTGGCTTGTGGACGCCCTACACTACGTTTGCCTAGACGCGGTCTCCACTCAAGGACTCGTTTACCTCTGTAGTGTAGTAAGTGTTGTATAACCAAGTTCATGTAACCATGCCTTTATTAGAATAAGCTAAGTAAGCAAGTAAGTTACGTTTTAATACATTGTATTCAATGTGACACTTATAAAATAGACGTTAACCTGTTCGGATGTATTTTATTTAATACAACACTTCACCCTCAACGGTTGTCGGTTCTGCGGCTAATATGGTCAGCCAAGATGAACAACCCGAAGCGCGACACTACCGCCAGCAGGACATGATTGAGTAGACCGTGGAAACGCTCAAAACCACCACAAAGTTACTAAAAATATGGACTAACATTACAAGCCTACACAATACTCAAATTTACATACTTACACTTAAAAAAATACTATACAATTTATGTTCAAGGAAAAAATAAACAAATGGAAAACAAACGAAATACAACAAAAAATTTAATGTCTATCACTTTCAAACATAACAACAATGATAGGAATGTAAATGTGGGAGTGAGCAGCATCAATTCCATGTAAATTTGGTTCCGTATTCCGTATTTGGTTCCGATTGATTGGTTTCGTAGTTACCTGTATGGTCGCCAGCAGCGTGCTTATATAGAAAATGTGTACTCCTCTTGGCGCACAACATCTGCGGGCGTACCTCAGGGCGGCGTGTTATCACCGTTACTTATTACAGTTTTTATTAACTCAATCACAAATCAATTACTTTCTTCCTTACCATCTTTATGCAGATGATCTCCAAATTTACTCACAAGCTACTCCAGATAATCTAACAGAAACAGTGGATGCCATTAACAGAGACTTAGTGCGAATATGTAACTGGAGTACGGAGTACGGACGAAGTGTAAACCCTACGAAAACACAAGTCATCATAGTAGGAAGTCCCAGGCTGCAATGTAAAATTAACTTTCAGCAGATTCCACCAATATCCTGCAACGGTTTGGTTGTCCCATATAATAAAAAGTTAAAAACTTAGGGATCTATATGGATAGGTACCTATCCTGGGCTCTTCAGATTGGAGAAGTTAGCCGCAAACTATTTGCTTAAGCGGAATCTCTGCGAAGGCTACGGAACTTCCTTCCCACCAATACTAAAAATGCGCTCGCACAATCTCTTCTTCTTCAAATCCTTGACTACGGCGATGTTAGCTACCTGGATCTCACCGAAGACCAACTGAACTAGCTTGATCGACTCCAAAACCTCGGTATTAGATTCATATTTGGATTACGCAAGTATGAACACATTATTTAGATGGCTAATTAGAACGATACTCTGAGAGTATCGTTCTAAACTCAAGTGGCTACCAATACGCCTACGCCGGAATCTCCATATTCTTTCTCTTTTATACAGTGTTTTGTTTCATCCTCACACACCCTCTTATCTCAAAGAACGTTTTGAGTTCTTACACACTACACATTGCAGGGACCTGAGGTTATCGGAGAATTTAAAACTAAAAATGCCAAAACATTCCACCCAGTTTGCAGGCAAATTTTTTACTGTGCAAGCCTGGAGCAACTTGCCTGAAACAATCCGACAAGCTAAAACCTTGCCTGTTTTTAAAAAACTTTTAAATGACGTTTATCTGTCATTATAAATACTGTTTAGATTCACTATTTTAAATATTATATTATTCTAAATAATGTATGGGTGTGTGTATGTATGTATGTATGTGTATTTGTATATGTGTAATGTGCATAAATGCATATTTGTTTATGAATGTGTTTGTTGATATTTTTAAATATTCATGTGATTATGTACTTAAATATTTTATGTATACTACCCTAAACTGGTATATATCTAAAATCCGAGTTAAGGTTGTCTGGAAGAGATCGCTGTGAGCGATAAGATCGCCGATTGTTGCATTGCATAGCTTCTATCGCGGGCCTTGAGCGTGGAGACCGAATGAAGAAATTCCGTAACGAAAATAACCTAACCCCTCCCACTCCGACCGGCACGGCGGTGATACTTTTTGGTTTTGCCATCTATCGATGAATAGCAGAACTTTTTTTAAGGTAGGGTGTTCCTTTGACATGACAAAGGGGGAGACCAGTTTATTTTTAATTAATATAATGACATCCACATACAATACCCCCTTACCCCACCAAAAATTTTATAATTGCATTGAGGTCCCTTCAAAATACCTCCCCTTCTCTCCCCTTCACTTTTTTCATTTATCCCCCTTTGATTTTCTCGGTACCTGGAGCACTTGGACTCCCATGTTTGGGTTTGTCTGAACCGGGAAAAGGAGACGAACAATCTAGCCCCTACAGATTTTTTTTTGAAAAGTATCGTAACATGTAACAACACTTCAGTCTGTTTTTCTAAAGAGGGGCGAGGGGGGGGGGTATTTTTGAGGGATGACTTATTTTTTATGATTGCATTGAGGTCCACACAAAATACCTCCCCCTCACCCTTCATTTTTTTCATTTTTCCCCCCTTTGATTTTCTCGGTTCCTGGAGCACTTGGACCATGTTTGGGTTCGTCTGAACCGGGAAAAGGAGACGAACAATCTGGCCCCTACTGATTTTTAAGCTGGTACCCGCGACTTTTAAACCTTCTTTTTAAGGAGAGGCCTATGTCCAGCAGTGGATTATTAAAGGCTGTTGATGTGATGATGATGTGACCCGCGACTTCGTTCGCGTGGAATTTGAAAACGCTGCCTTACTGGGTTCGATTCCCGGCCGGGCAAATTTCTATAGGGTTTTTCTGAGATAATTATTTAATACTAAGTTGATTAAAAATGCTATGCAATAGCTTTACCGCGGCAGTCCCCGAGTGCCACACGTCTTTTTTTTCTTTTTGAGGGTATACAATAAAGATATAAATAAATAAATAAAAATAAATTTGCCATCTAAATAATCTGTAACTATGTGGTATTCGTAAGCCTTTCCACATAGTTTTTGTTTTACTAAGGACTTAAATTTGTTTCTACTTAATGCATTAAATTCGCTTTTTTTTTTATAGAGTCGCACACTAGTCCCTGGCAACACGAGTTTATCTTTATTTAATTATCTAACTTTATGAATAATTGAATATTTTGCTTTACAAGTTCAGTTTCGGGGCCACTTAGAGGGTAAGGTCAAATGCGCCTAGAAGAAGCTCTGTGTGCTCGCTCTATAACGAGCAAGTCCGGGCCGCATATGAAATACTGTTCTCATCTCTATGCAAGGTAATTCAGAATCAGCTTCTCCCTCTGGACCGCATCCAACGAAGAGCGACTCTAATCGTCGGCTCGATCCCTTGGCGTTACGGAGAGATGTGCCTTCACTCTACATTGTCTATCGCATGTATCATGGAGAGTGCGCCGAGGAATTATTCAGACTAATATCGGCCGCAACTTTCCGCCATCGTTCCACACGGAAAAGTTTTCATCCCCATCACCTGGATTGTTGACGCTCCACTACTGTGCGCGTTTCGAGATACTTTTTGCCTCGCCAAACCAATCTGTGGAACGGGTTATCGACTGCGGTATTTCCGGATCGATATGTCCTTCAAACCTTCAAGAAAAGAGCGTACACCTTACTAAAAGGCGGGCAACGCATTTGTGACTCCTGATTTGCAGACGTTGCAGATGGTCACTTTAATTCAGGTGACCCGTCTGCTCGTCTGCCCCTTTATCATAACAAGAAAAAAGATCCAACTCCTTTCCATTTATCAGATCATTGGTTTTTACATGCTTAATTTTAGGTGGAAAAAAATCTAACACATATAGATTTTTCTCGTTTAAAAGTAAATTATTAACATTGAACCAGTTCACGACCTTAGAGAGAGTGTTATTCACATCATCAGTAACTGATACCGTCGTTTAAGTTTAAATAAAAGTGAACTGTCAGCCGCAAATAGCACTATCTCCTGATTACCTTTAATCAGATTAGCTAGGTCATTTATACTTATATTTATATGAGAAACATAAATGGGCCAAGAATCGATCCTGCGAAACTCCCATAGTGACCAGAGACCCGAGGGACCTCTGTTAATTCCCTGAAACTGAAAACTGAAAAACTGCCGCTCTTTGGCCCAAATAATACTCGTAGATAAGAAGATTCAAAACAGTATTCTTAATTCCATAATGATGCTATATCCTGATCAAGGTTTCATGAAATACTTAATCGAATGCCTTAGACAAATTACAAAACACACCCATTGCATCTCGTTCATCCTTTCAGGCACTGAATATATTTTCCAATTATTATAAATTTGCCCAATGTACTCCGGTACCTCACTCGCTCGGTAAAAAGCAACGTAAGAATTGCTTAACACCGGGGTAGTGTATGTACCTATAGTTGTCTCGCGTGCTCGCGCAGTGGGGTGATAGTCACGAGCGAGCCGTTGGCAGGAGCTGACGTGTGGACGCTTTTTTTCTGTGCGGAAATCCCCTCGGATACCACCGGTGGTTATGTCGCACTCGAACTGACCAAAAACCTCACGCTGTCTTAGGTACCAGTTGCTAGGGAACCAGGTGTACCCTAGGAAGGAAATCCCTGATACCCCGACGTACCTCGGGCCATCTACAGCGTGTAGATGACCCCCTCCTGTATGGGAACCTCTGTGACATCATCATAATCATCATCAACAGCCTTTAATAGTCCACTGCTGGACATAGGCCTCTCCTTAGAAAGGTGGTTTTGGCCTACTAACTTGTGACGTAATGAGCCAATACCTACCCCGTGTGTAGTACACGTTCTAAACGTGTACTACTACCGGTCTTCATACATAAATAAACGAAGGGGATTATTTTTTTTCTGTTTTAGGCAGAAATGTGAAATAAACTTTTTCTCTCTTTCTTCCAAGCTATTCATCCTACATGGTGGTGGTGGTACTCCACTTCGGTTTATCGTCTATGTCGTCTTGGGAAAACCAACAGTTTTTCATGTCCCTCAGCACTATATCCGCCCACCTTGTCTGCGGTCTCCCCCTGGATTTTCTACCGAGGCTCGATAATTATAGCACCAAGTTGCCAATATAGTCAGGTGGCCTCCTCTTTATGTGACCATACCATCGCAAACTGCTATCTTGAATATTTTTGGTTATGTCGCGCACACCTAAACTTCTCCGTACGTGCCCGTTCCGTACCCTATCGAGCCTGGTAACACCGCACATAGAATTTTCATCTTAGCAACTTGGATGGTGAGTATGGTTTTTCCTGTTATGACTGTTTTTCCTGTTTCGCACTTCTTGCCATTTTAGCCACGTACGTATGCGATTCTGAATGTTATGATCAACGTCAAAAAAGTCAACGGAATGTGAATTAAATTATTGAAGTGAAATTAAATATGCCTGATAATATCGCAGCAAGATGCACTCAGTCACGGAAAAAGAGCAATTGGCGGGTCTAAAAATCTAGTCAATGCAAAAAGTACTACGTTACATTTATCTTGAAATTGTACTGGAAATTGTTGCATGAAATAAAACAAATCATTTGTTTTGTTAGTGTGAATTAAATATAAACGTTTCCTTGTGGTGGCGAATTAAAAATACGGAGTGTCACCACCCTTTTTTATCCCCTGGGACTCATAAGAGCTGACTATGGGAGCAAACTACACGGGAGAACAGCACTGCAATGAAAAGAAAAACTTGAAACAAATGATTTGTTGATGACTAATGAGTACTGCCGCTCATGGACATCTCAACTCCCTCTAATTCTGTGGGGGTTGGATCTAACTTACGCGTTGCAAAGCAGCGAAGGTATTACTGAGCAGCGGTTTTCTGTGAGGCAGTTGTATCAAATCAGAGAAGTTGGCCCATACGAGTATGTGCCATTTCATGACTCTCCCACGGCAACTGCTGATTCTTACTCACCTTCTGGTTCCAAGGGTCTCTTCGCATTTCCTATGTTTGTTTCTGGTTGTAAAGCTTTGGAGGATTCCGGTTCTTCTGTATCCATTGTTGAATTGAGCTTTAGGTTACTGATATTGCCAAACTGTTTCTTCGGTTCATCCTAAAATTTCAAAGAAATTCATTTAAATTTTTAAGAAATATTGTGTGATCCTGTTTTAGAGTATGGGTATGAATGACTATAAGTTCAAGTGACTTTAGACAACTGTGTGGTTTTAACTAATTTCTTGTGTGGTTTAAAACAGTATATATATAAACGCAATGTGTAAATAGCCTCCACGTCCTATGCATACATTTTCTTTATATTCTAATACCTACTGTCTTCCTCTCGAAGTCTGTTTTTTTACCGCAGTCAGTTTAAGTTTCATCTCGCTTAGTATCAAATGTATGTTTTTTTCGTCAAGATCGTGCTAAAATAAATATGGTTGTAAGTAAACGAACTTTTTACTATTAAAATACGGTGTAGCACTTTGCATTCGGTGCTCTGTATTCATCGCCTATATCCAGCAGTGGACTGTGATGATTCATCTCATTACGTCACTCGGTTAGCATTACGAACCCAATAGAATTCTTTGTCTACCAAGGTATTTTCTTATAGTAAGCGACTACCGCTGCTTTTAACCTGCACATGGACACTATCGTGGACAACTGCAACTAAAGCGTTACAAGCACGTAGTTGCCGTTGAGTGACGCCACAGAATGGGAGAAGGGATGGGTCTGTTAAGAACGCCGGTAACCTCACTCGCTTGGTGTATATTTATAGTATTTATACTGTTATACCAATTGGACTTGTTATTGAAAAATGATTACACTATCTGTGTGTAACAAAAAAATGAAGTACTTACTAAAGCATATGTAGTCTCTACTTTCAACTCTTCAGTTTCATTTCCTTGATGATAATGCTGATGGCTGATGATGATGATGCTTTTATACTAAATAGAGTTGTTACTGACAATGATAACAGTGTATGTGGGAGACATACAAAGAAATAGAAACATACTACAGCGCATTCTAACGAAGATACACCAAACTACGGAGTAACTGCTAATCTTGCTTCGCGATATGAACAATGCTCTTGGCCGATTAGCGTATAGTTAACTTCCCAACATCAACCGTTGGGTCGCGGCCCGCTATCGGTACGTAACAAAAAAAAAATTTAGTACTTACTAAAGCATTTGTAGCCGGTAGTAAAGGCTTCTCTATACTCGGAGGTTTCAACTCTTCAGTTTCCTTTTCTTTTGGAGAATCAATAAATTTTACAGTAGTTACATTATGAGTTAGTATTATTACTGCCCAATGAGGGACGTTGATGTTTATTTTTCTAATTAAAAAACTCGTGTCTTTATCGTTAATAAAACAGCTCACTTCTCCTGACGGCTTCACACAGAAATGGAAGATATTATCCTCGTCAGTCAATCTTCTCCAAAAATGTTTTAACCAATTGACCCACTCACAAGACTTAAGGTCAGCTATAGTGTTCGGGTCACAATCTGTAAAGCCAAAGTGTACGAGATCCAGTAATGACCTTGGAAGTGATTCTAGGCGTAGGTATACCTGAAATTAAAATGCCACATAAGTTAAGACACTCTGGTTGATATCCTGTAAAGTAGAAACATTTTCAAAACCAACACATTCCTCATATTAATTTAGGCCCGTATTTTAAAAGGTCTCTCAGTCGTGAATCTAGTCTCAAAACTAATTTTAAGTAGAGACTTTATTATTGAACGTCACTTTAAACGAGATTCACCAATCCATACTCAAGTGAGTGATAGCATATTTTAGAACGATGTTTATGTCGAAATCTTTAATCAGGTATAGATTTTGACAGATGTGATCTTTGTTTACGTGAGACAAGCTGAAACTAGTCACAAGTGTGTACTTGTGATACTATAATTAAATTCACATTTTACACACACAACAATCGTTTAAATTAAAATCACTACAACCTTTTGGTTTCGGTTAAAAGCACTGGGTCTACCAATAGGGATGACCTGATTTTGACAGCTCATAGCGGCCATGTTTGATGATGGATCTTTGACGTCTCTTGACATTTGTGTTCAATAAGGTTTGCCATTTTATCAGGTCACGTTTCACTTTAAACCAACGCTTGGAAGTTGTCCAAAATTATTACGCAAATTCACGTTCTTCTACCGCTACAGTAAGAGCGCTTCGCGCAAAAAACGGTCGTCATAGTGCTCCTTCTGTGCGCGCTATAAATCGCATAATAACAAAATTTGAAATTGAATTCACTCTCCACGATACTGCTGTGCCTGTGAGACAAAGAAATACCCGTAGTGAAGAGAATATCGCAGCCGGCATCAGGCCAGTGTTGATGCGAATTCAAATCGATCAGTTCAACGCCGTTCACAAGAGTTGGGCTCTCTCCAATGACCACCTGGCGTATTTTGCGGTTGGATTTGGGCTTACCCATACAAAATGGTTTTAGCACAAGAATTAAAGCCATCCGACCATTGTATCCGTCGTGAATTTGCCGATTATGCACTGGAAATGATGGAAGCCGATGACGATTTTCATCGTAAAATCATCTTCTCAGATGAGGCCCATTTCTGGCTCAATGGATTTGTTAATAAACAAAATTGTCGCTATTGGAGTGAGTCAAATCCACGTGTGGTTCATGAATCACCATTGCATCCGCAAAAAATAACAGTTTGGTGCGGTTTATGGTACGGTGGAATCATTGGTCCGTACTTCTTTGAAAGTGACGAAGGAAACCCTGTGAATGGCGAGCGTTATAACTCGATGTTAACCGAATATTTCTTTCCGGAATTTGATGATATTGATGCAGACGACCTTTATTTTCAACAAGACGGTACACCACCTCACATTACTCGAGTGAACATGGAATTGTTGCGTGGAAAGTTTGGTGAGTCGTTAATTTCGAGAAATGGACCGATCAGTTGGCCACCAAGATCGTGTGATTTATCACCTTTAGACTATTTTCTTTGGGGTTACGTTAAATCTAAAGTGTACAGCAATAATCCAGCTACAATTCGTGACCTAAAAACCAACATTCGACGAGCCATAGCCGACATACCGGCCGAAATGGTGCACCGCGTCATCGAAAATTGGCCTGAGCGGGTGACCGTCTGCAAAAAGAGCCGCGGCGGTCATTTGGCCGATATTATTAAAAACATTGCAACATTTATTTAACAAATTGCATAAAATTATCTATCAAATAAATCAATTGGATGCATTTTTCATAAAAAATTGTGTGTTTTATTCAATTTTTAAACCAGGACGTTCTTATTGGTAGACCCCATATAATACTATTCTAGTAATATAAATTTTAGAAATATAAAAATAAAAACATTGTTTGACATTTCAATATGTTAAGTGTTGATAAATAACATGAACGTTCCGTTATAGCCTATATCTAGTAATTTTTGTTTTAATATTTATTATATTTAATTTTGGACGATAAACAAGCTTGTTAATATCTTAACATTGCTACACTATCCAATAGTATACTATATTCAAATTCACAGAAATTATGTTTTTTAAAAGAAAATTATTTTTTAAATAATTAGCTTAAAGCTTAAATAATGTCAATCATGCGAAAACGTAATTGAGAACAGACTGTAAGTTCAAATCAATACTTGAAACTAGTCTCAACTGAGTAAAACTTAAACCTCGTTCTCGCATGAGATATTGACAAACCAGCCAAGCAATGTAATGTAAAATATTAGATTATCGTTGTTTATTGCATGTGTTTATAATACGGCTGCAAGCATCGGTCGCCAGCTAGTGATGTAACCGTACCACTCATGTGAATGAAAGTGCAGTTTATATCGATGTTAGCATAAACGAATATTTAAGGTTAAGAAGGTTAAGAAACTAAGCGATATATGGTAAAATAAAAAAAAAGCATTATGAGCACGTAAAATATTCTCAATATTAATTATACAATAAATTCTTTAGGAATTTAATTATTTGTTTAAGTTTGCGTATTAGTCTATAAATGTTTTACATGCTGATAAATGTGAATGTAACGATGCCTTTTAGGATTAATTTCTAGATTTCGGAAAGCTACTAAAGATTTTCTATACAAATAAATAAAATTGGAGTGTCTGTTTGTAATATTAAAATAACCGCTTTTTACTAAATTCATATGTATGTATATATGGTACATATGCCAAAATGATATTTTTTTCAATTTTTGTCTGTCTGTCTGTTTGTTTCGGGTAATCTCTAGCACGGCTGGACCGATTTCGACGGAACTTTCACTGGCAGATAGCTAATGATATAAGGAGTAAATTAGGCTACTTTTTAGGGCTAGCTTCGCCCCGCGGCTTTGCCCTCGGTTACAACAACAAACGCGGGTAACACCGCGAGGATCAGCTAGTTTTAAACAAATTTCTTCATTTTACGGCTCAATAAACCCATTTCGTAGAGTTGTTAATAATCTCAACTGCTAGAGATACTTGCGAATATATAGTAAAATTAACTATATTTTCAAACACAGTGTTAGGAATAAGGGTATTATTACACAGTTGATGACTATGTTAATATAAAAAAAAATACAGTCGAATTTAGAACCTCCCTGCTTTTTTCAAGTCGGTTAAAAACGAAACTACTCTGTTCATTACTTACTTCTCAATAACTTATTTCTAGATCAACATAAATCTTATTGTTACCTCAAGGAACTAATTGTTCAGTTCGCTCCGTCTTGCCGTCCACGGAAACCACAACAGAAGCTCCGGCCGTGGCTGAGGCGTCGAGCTCGACTTCAAGTGACGAGTTTTTCTCTCCGCCGACGTCGCCAACACCTGTACGTCGGCAGGGGAGAGGCCGGCCACCGATCTGCTTAGGATCCCGAGGACCACTGACCTCGAATAGGGTCCCCGCTACCGGTGGTAATGTGCGCCGCATGAAGTGGACAAATTCTATCAATGAGAATGTCATGCGGGCATATTATCGGGCTACAGAGATGGGAACAAACCTTACTGCGTACCGTGTTCGACTAGTCTCTTTGTTTCAGGAGCTTGAACCTGCTGTCAACGTATCAGCACAACGATTGTCGGATCAAGTACGAGCTATACAGCGCTGTCATCTGCTGGATGATGCAGTACTTGAGAGGATACGCTCTGACATACGGAATAGCTTGATTATCCCTTCTTCGTCACACACTGTGGATTTGGTAGCTAATAGCACACCTCAGTTAGTATCACATACCAATGATGTTGATGAATTAGTGGAGGGTGAAGTTATATCTGTAAGTACCCAATACAATGACAGGATAAGGAGCGCTTTGGAGGATGCGATTCTAGAGTACCGGTATGTGAATTGGAATAATAGACCCCGATTGTCCCGTTTGCCCATTCATAAACGAAATTTAGCGCTTGTGGGTGCCCTGGATTCGTTTTTGCCTGATTATTTAGACAATAGCGAAGATCTTGGTGATACACATTCTATTCTGTATTGTGCGGCTGTTGCAGTTTGTCGAGTAGTTGGTGTTAATATAGTTGAAAATGTCACTACTACTCGACCTAAATCAACTGTACCAGCTTGGCAGTGTAGAATTGAACGTCGTATTGCTGAGACCAGGGTGCTTATTGGTAAGCTAATTAGTTTTCGATCAGGGAATACGCGGCCGAGAGTGATGCGCTTTGTGAAACAGGCATTCTTGGGGACTACCATTGGTCCTCAACAGTACATGGCATGTGTCACAGAGCGCATAGACTTTCTAAAGCAGAAAATTTATGCATGGGCAAATAGGATAAGACGGTACAAAAAACGAAAAGATCGGTATAATCAGAATCGGATGTTCCAAAGAAATGAGAAGTGGGTGTACCGGAAATGGGAGGAACCGGATCCATGTATGAGTCATGGGCATTTGCCAGATGAAAATGTCACACATACTTTTTGGCGGAACATCTGGTCGGTGCCTGTCACTCATATAGAAGGTGATTGGTTGCGGGATGTCAGACGCTCATGTGAGTCTATAACACCTATGGAACCAGTTATAATTGATAAAGATGATGTAAGCTGTGCAGTTCGTTCATTACCGAATTGGAAATCACCTGGTTTAGACGGACTGCACAACTTTTGGCTTAAGTGGTTCCGAAGCTCACATGCGTGTTTGGCATCTCAATTCCAGGCAGCTTTAAATTCGGGTTCATTACCCCAATTTTTAACCACTGGTATAACCCACTTACTCTATAAGTCTGGTAGTGTCATGGATCCCAGAAATTTTAGACCTATTACATGTTTACCAACCATGTACAAACTTCTTACATCTATTCTGAGACTCAAAATTACTTTACACATTAATAATAATTCGATTATGTCAGTTTCTCAGAATGGATGTAGAAGTGGGAGCCGTGGCACTAAAGACCTCCTTATTATAGACAGGGCCATTAGCCAACAGGTGCGTCGTAATCGTAAGAGTTTGGCGACATGTTGGATAGACTATAAGAAGGCTTATGACTCGGTTCCACATACATGGCTTTTGAGGGTGCTGGAGTTGTATAAAATTGATACAACTCTGTGCACTTTCTTGAAGTCATGTATGGGGCAATGGAGAACAGCGCTTC